GTGTGTTTGTATGTGTGTGCCTGCATGTGAAATTTGCACAGCCCCCTTCAGAAGGAGCGCTGTTGCAGAAGACGAACAGGAAAATCCAAGGTCATCACGGCACGCTTCTCTGACGTTGCCTTTCAGCCCCCTTTCGTGCGTGTGTGCCTGCGTGTGCTTGAGTGTCTGCACGGCAGGAAAAGTGTGTGTAACTCAGTGCATCGGTCCAAGCTCTGCACCAATCACGGTGCGCATTTTAGCTCCATGCACACGTGCAGGCATTTATACCAGAGTGAGCGGTGTGTGTGTGTGTTTGTGTGCGTTTTCAGTGCCTCTTGGCACAGCAGTGTGTCTGTGTGAGCTACTGAAGCTGCATTGAGAAAAAATAACCATTTGTAGTGAGAGAGTCCAGCATCACGAAGGATGTACGGTAAGAATTACAATAATTCTTCCTATGTGTATTCGTGTGTGTGTGTGTGTGTTTAAGGCTTTTTAAGTATGTGAGTAATGTAAAGCATGCAGCGTTCAGCCAGTTTTCCTACATTCTACCAACACGTTCCCTCTTAGCTTTCTTGTGATAGACTGCAACTGACTAAAAGCGCATGATATGAACTTGGACTATTATGAGGATACTGCTCTATTTAATATCAGTAATAGCTTACAAGGATACACCGCTTTGAAGATGTTTATTTTTGGTACCGGACACTTCTTTGGTCAGAACACTTTTTAATCAAATGACTTCCTTTGTTGTAGTTGAAGTGATAACAGTATGTTCTCTACACCTGTAAAATATTCAGCTCACTGTTGTAGTTATATATGTTTTCTTATTATCCTTTAATATTTTTCACATTTCTTTGCTATTTTGGGTTTGTTTTCCTTGAAAACAGGTATAGTATATGTGCGGTTAGAAGTTTTAATTATTGGTACTTTTCTGTAAAACTTTAAGATCATGTTAAAATGCGTTTGGTGTTAGTGTTTTCTGTAGCTATGTTGTTTTCATTGACATGTTGATATATTGTTCATTGATTAGCGCTAATTAAAAATATAGTTAGCTTTGCTTTGACTTTCGAGACTATTGATGGAAAAATGCTTGGCTAAGTAGGCTAAACCTGCAGACTGGAAGAACTAGCTCAGTAAGACAGAGTGCGTCGCTCTGCTGAGCTCCTGTATGGAAATGTGGCTCTCTGGGCTTGAGTCCCTCACAGCCCAGTTTCAGTGCCTGTTTGACTGTGTGATTCATAGTGTGTCGGATCGGCCTTGTGTCGTGAGAATTTGTTGGCAGCTGGGTCTGTACATCAGTATGTTGGTCGCATAATACCAGCCATGTTCGCTTCCACCCACTCTCGGTGGAGTGTGTGCTTTGAATAATACTTGGATTTATGGTTGAAAATGATGTACTGTGTATGTTTCTGCGTGCAGCGAGTCTATAGCCTGAAGACACAGAAGGAGAGAGGGGGTAGATGGATGTTGTGGTAACACACGCAACACATTTGAATTGCTGTCATTATCTCCATGCCAGAGTGACAAAAATTCACATTTCTTCCTCTTTGTCACGCTTAATGCTGTCAGCCTCTCCTGAACGATACCCACCTCCTCTCTTCAGCTCTATACAGCTCTCCCA